ATTTTATTCCCAGAGCAATGTCTACCTGTCCCCCTTCTTACCAGGGCAGAGAATCCCTTCAAACACTTAGGGCCTGGTTCTCTGTTGCCCTCACCTTGGGCCTGGCGTCACCTACCCTGTGACAAATGAGCGTAAAAGGCAACCAGGTAAGATCAAATGTTTGCACAAAGATAAATGAATACACAGGGTACAAGACAATGGAGAATCTGGTCCTGACACTGCAGTTTACCTGGATGAAGCAGTTCCCTTTGGTATACTGCTCCTTCTTTTGCTGATCCAAGAAATTTTGAAACAGCAAATGCATCTCCTTCCACTTACATAATCTCCCATATAGAACAGAGACTTTGGCTTTTACCTGGCTATTCAGGAGCCAATGAGAAAGCACAGCCTAGAGGTCACAACTATGTATTTCCTTGGATGGGCACTTAATTTGGGATTGCATCCCTGCAGCATTATTGCGGTGCTTCCAGTTCATTTGTACCTCTACTTGAAGGTGAAGTAAAGGGAAATAAGCCTATGGAGGCTGGAATAGACGTCCACTTGGCCATCTGCTGCTCAACCTCATGGCAATTCAGCGGCAACTCCAAAGCTGCCAAACATTAACTGCCAGTTGTGTCTGCCAAGGAGCAAGGTGCCATGATGGGGGGGGTGCGGTGATCACCTGGGGCCTATGAAAAGAGAGACAATGAGCTGGAGGAATATAGGTTGGCAGAAATGAAGCCTATGAGCCAGACAATTGCTTTTAAAGCTGTCATTTAATTGTAGGGCTATAGGAATATTGATGGCCCCAAAAGTCAAAACTAAGACATGTTTACAGCATAACACATCACTCTTTATCATATAAAATAACCCATTACATATAAAGAAGAGAGTGGTCAGTATATAAAAATGCTACGTATATGATTTTAAATGGATGGTATCACATGTCATTTGGGTTGAAATGTGCCTCTGTTATGTGCTCTGATGTCGTCACACCAATAGTGGGACGTACCTGAAAACTCTGGGGTTGGAATTAAAGTGTTTTTGGCTTATAGTGCAATTTAATTTGAAATGCAAATCATCATTGAAGGCAAATCTGGCACTTTGTTCAGTTCAAACAAAACTCTGCTCTTTGGAAATGTTGTAGGGCTGGTAACAGCTCATTAAAAAACCCTTCTCCAGAAGAAATATTCTGACACCTGCATTTTGAGATGCCAAAGTTATTTTCTTCCACAGTACTAAGAAGCTGGCAATAGTTGTAAGGTACAGTGTTGAAATGATTCTGAGCTTCTTTTGCGCACAAGCCTTTCTCACAAAGAAGAGGTCAGGATAAGTGCTCTTGTATATAATAAAAATGGACTAAAGAACTCCTATGCAACTGGTTTTCCCAGCAACTTTGAATGCCTTGAAATTTTGCGTCTAGGGTGGTAGGCCTAGAATTACCTGCAGTTCCTATTTAAATTCACAAGGTGGCAGCCTTAGGATAAGAAATATATTTATTAGCGCCAGTAGGCGCCGGTTGTTGTTGTTAATAACACCATATTTCCCCTATTAATGTTTCATTTAATTTAATTAGCATCTGAGAAACTAATTACAATAGACACCAGCTCCCCACAATCAGCAATAAATTGTATAATTATCAATAATTGTGCACAGCCCAATCATTCTGCTATTAATGTTATTTTTTTAAAAATAATGGCATTTCCTAAGACAGTGTTAGCTCCAGAAGTCATGTGATCGCTCTTCCATGGCCAGGCCTCTCCGATGGGCCTGTGGTTCTGATCACACGCCTCGTGTTACCGGCAGGCGCACGATACTTGCTGAAAGTAAAAGTGCACATGCAAGAAATACCAAATCTGGGGTCAGGGGCTTTCCACTGCTCTGCACTTCAACAGCTCCACTGTTTTGCTGAATGGATGAAACCTCAGTCGCCCCCCATGGAGCCGAGAGTCTGTGTGGCAGGTGCCCAGGTCAGCGCCTACCCCCTGGGCGGGGCAGAGGCTAGGGTGACCAGATGTCCCGATTTTATAGGGTCAGTCCTGATTTTTGGGTCTTTTTCTTATATAGGCTCCTATTACCCCCCACCCCGTCCCGATTTTTCACATTTGCTGTCTGGTCACCCTCGCAGAGGCACTTGGAAGTGTTTTGTTTGGGTCTCACTCGGCCCAACAGCAGCGATCGGTTGCTGCTAGCGTTAGGGGACTCGGTGTGGTGAAATCCCACGCCCAGGATTTCTGGAGGAGGGAGGTTAACGGTTTGTTTACGTCTGGGCTGCCTGAGCAGGCTGAGCTAGGCAGACCTGGGGAGCGGATGTTTTAGAAGATAAACATGGGGGAAACCGAGAGATCTTATTTGGAACAAGAAATAGCCAAACCAATGCTGCGTATGGCTCCCAGGGTAGCAGCCTGGACCTCTTCATGGAGCAATTTCAGAGCGAATTCAGCATTTATTTACCGATTCGATACATCGTATATACCAGGGGTAGGCAACCTATGGCACGCGTGCCGAAGGCGGCGCGTGAGCTGATTTTCAGTGGCACTCACACTGCCCGGGTCCTGGCCACCGGTCCGGGGGGCTCTGCGTTTTAATTTAATTTTAAATGAAACTTCTTAAACATTTTAAAACCCTTATTTACTTTCCATACAACAATAGTTGAGTTCTATATTATAGACGTCTAGAAAGAGACCTTCTAAAAACGTTCCAATGTCTGACTGGCGAAACCTTAAAGCAGAGGGATTAAATGAAGCCTCGGCAGGTTGGCGACCCCTGGGCTATACAAACCAGTTAGTAAATAACCTACAGCCCTGTTGGTCAGGGCAGGGGAGGGGGAACTGCACCCAGTAAGATCCGGCCGGCTGATGAACAGATGCTGGGGTGTCTCCCTCCCTCCCTGGGAGCCCGGCCACGGGCAGCGGTGTGTGGGGCCTCGCCAAGAGCTTAGCTTGGCCTACAAGATCAGCGGAGCAGCGGACACCCTGCCTGGGATTTTAGCCCCCCCCCCCCCCCCCCCTCAATGTGATGCCGCTGAGGCACGGGCAGGGCAGTGACTGCCCGATGGGCTGGGCCGGGAGAGCCTCCCCACCCTGCCTGGGGCGGGCCAGCCAGGCAACCCCCCCCCCACGCGGGATCCGCCGTTCCCCCTTCTTCGGCAGCTGTTTCTGGCTAGGTGCCTCCTGGGCTGGACGCAGGTGTTCAGGGCGAAGGGGTGCGCCGGCCCCTCAGAGCTCAGTACCGGACCCCCCCGGGTGACCCCAGCCTAGAAAGGCGCCTTAGTGAGCTCTTGGGCAGCCCCCACAGCGGAGGAAACTGTGCAAAGAAAAGCTCCCCCCGCCCCATGCCCCTTGCAGCAGAGCGCTCGGGCCAGGCGCAGCCCGCTACACCCCAGCAGGCCCATGCAGAGTGAAACCGGTTCTGCCTCTTCTCTGGGTCTCACTCCGATTCGGGGAGGGGGGCTGGGAAGGGGCGAGCAGGTGGCAAAGCATCGGGCGTTGTTTGGGCCTTTGGACCAAGGGAGGGAAATGCCCCAACTCCGGGCCGGGATCTGGGGAAGGAGCGGGCCAAGGAGCCAGTCAGCTCCCAGGGCAGGGGGGCTCTAGAAAGCCCGCTGTCTTCACTCGGCGCTGCGGAGCCGGCCCGGTCCCAGCGGGCAGCGAGGGCCGGCTCCTGCCCCCCTGGCAGCAGCAGCGGGTTCCGGCCAGAGGAAATGGGGCTTGAACAGCTGATCTCGCCTCCAGCCTCGGCTTTGCGCCGGGCGCGGCTGGCTCTGGGGAGGGGAGAGCGGCGGCGGCAATGAACCAAAACCAGGGCGCGCTAGAGGCCGCCCCGCTGACGGTCGGGGAGATGGCCCCGGGCTCCTAAGCTGCTGCCGGGACTCCAGCGTGTCCCTTCGCCGTCCGCAGCCGGCTGGGGCGGAGACCGCGCCTCGGCGCCTCTGGCTGGAGCTCGGGGGTCAGGTCGGGGGGGGGGCTAATTGAATAAGAGCCTCCTGGGCCCCTGGGGGAAGAACCTTTGCCCCCTGTCCAGGCGGGGGGCGAGAACCAGAGGTGGGGGAGGCGGCAGAGGGAGGGGCTGGGTATTGCCCTGGTGCGCTCTCACTGAGAGGCAGGTAGGACGGGTCCCTTCCCAGTCCTGGCTAGCCCGGGGGGGCAGGGGTCTAGGATTCTGCTCGGAAATGAACTGTAGCCACCTTGCTCCAGGTATTTCCCTGGGCCTCCCCCCGTTTTAGCCAGCGGCTACCCCGTGCTTAGACCCCGGCCTGAGCCAATTCGGAGCCAGTCCCTGTTACAAGTGGATTGAGTCGAATCGCTTCGCTCAGAGTTCGGTCCCCCACTTCCCCCCGTCTCACGCCGGGGCAATCACTCAGCAGCCACCCCAGTGTGCTTAAAGGTTGTTTTTATTAAAGAACAAAAATGGCGTACAGAGGTTTCTCCCCCCACAACAGGGGCAGGGTTGGTTTTATTTATTTCTCCTTTCCTTGGGTGTACCGTGAGTCGCAAACCGCCCGATAAAGTGCTGTCACATCCATCATTTACAAGGGAGCGTCGAGGGGAAATAAATATACATCATAAATAAATAAATAAAAATTCAACAAATACTGGACCAAGAGAAATCACAGTACATTTATATCCATTGCACATAGCCACTTTTTCCAGTCTAGACAAGGGTTTCAAGAAGTGGACAGACAGGTAGGCGTGGAGGGGGCAGACAGTGAGCAAGGAGAAAGTTGCTTGCAGGATTCCTTGGATAGAACCGATTCACAGCGGACCGTGTCTGGGGGCGTTGTGTTTTGTTAATTCGCTTTTGGTCCGTTTACACCTTGGCGGTCAGCTGCCCGGATTCGCAGCCTGGAGGAACTGTATTTACACTTCTAGAAACGCTGAGCCCGAGAGCTCCACACAGTCCTGTATTTACACGTGTCTCCTTAGAAATGGCTTGTGGCTGGGTTTTCCCTTTCGCGGCGCAAGGGGCTGCCGGCTATTCACACTCCGAAGTCGCATGGCTTTGGCGGGGTGGGGGGGGGGTCATTGGGGCAGCAGGGGCGGCTTGAAGGAGCAGTTCCCCGTGCAGTGGCGAGGCGTGAGCATTTTGCAGGAGAAGTGGTGGAGCGCGTCGTGGGCCTCTGCAAAGAGACAGACACAAAGCAAACCTGTTACTCCTGGTCCCCCGCACGCGTTCACACCGGGCCCGGTTCCGATCCCCACCGCCCGGGGCAAAGCAGCGGGGCTTCCCCTGACAGCGGTACAATCTCAGGTGCATCCCTCTTCAAGGAATACTGATTGAGGCGATTTACAGATCTGCCCCCCGCACACCTGGTTCAACATTTCTCCGTCGTATCGACACCGGTTTGGTTGCAAACCCAAGTGGCCCGCGTTTTATTTCGCATCCGTGTATTTCCCCCCCACCCCAGACAATGATTTTCCAGGTGGGCATTTCCCCATCTCCTTCCATGCTTTGGAGAGATACCTTTCAACTTCTGCTGGATGGCGTAGCGAGCTTTCCTCTCCTGGTCCAGTTCGTTACACAAGGTATCTGGGAAGAGGGGGACGGATCAGAGTGAAGGGCAGAAATCACCCCCCCACACAGCCCCTTCGAGCTTTAATGAAACCCGGCTTTGGAGTTTGGGGTTTAAAAACAAACCAAGGAGCGCGCTGGCTTCTGATCGCAGCCTGGGATTGGAAAGTAACGGCTGAGAATTGCGCTTGAAGGCAGATGGATACAGTCAACATTCAAGCAAACTTAGGCATTACTTCCCAGGTAATTTTACGCCTCGGTTTTTAATTTAGAAGCCCTGGAAATTGCTTCGATAAGAAGTTCAATCACTCCTATGTAATGATGCCTCCGAGCCGTATGCTGGGCTGGTTTGCGATTCCGAGGCTAATCAGACTATACAAAAGGATATTCAATAAAAAAAATAATTGTTAAATTACCTCCCATTTACATGTAAATGACAGAGCTCACATGGCAAGCTCCCTGCCAGGGCGGCTCACCTGAGTCGAGCCTTACCTCTGACGATTTGTAGCTGTTGGACCATTTCTTCCCTGTACGCCAGCTCCCTCTTCATCTGATCCTGAAAATTATCTGTGCGGAAGGCAGGCAGCAGTGAGTGAGAACGGTAAAGCAGTCGCCTCCCCCCTCGGCCCAAGCATGCATGTAGTGGGTAGGTGGAAAACAGCCCTGCGGCTGGGGGACGTGTCCCACTTTTCCGTTTGAGGGTTGCTCAAAATCCTGCGAAGCTACAAGCCCCCAGTGGGACGGGTTCAAGTGGATTTTAAGTCGTTATAAAAACCGGAGTCGTTGATACGTGACCCATCAAGGCGGCTCGGCAGAGGAGACGCTCTTAGGGGGTTGGTACCTTTCAGACTTTGGAATTCCCGTTCTAATTTCTTCCTAAGCTCCACTTGCTCCAGGAGCAGTTTTTGCAATTCGTCTGTGGAAAAATAAAGCCTCGCATGAGAAAACACACTTTCCAGCTGGAGAAGGAGCCGCGTTTGCTTGAATCGCATTATATTACATTAATCACGGGAGTTAATCACTCCCGGGAAAAAATACCTACAGCCTAAATAAAACGATAAACGGGGCACTCGGCGTGGGAACGAAAGGCGCCTGAAATCGACGGGGTCCATCCGAAGGGATGGGGCTGGGGGCTGCGTTCGTTTTCAGGGCGCACACAAGCATCCTGGAAGCCAGGAGGATCAAACCCTTACACTAGGGTGAGGCGTTTTTAATAGGAGAGAGGTTGCAATCACAGCGGGTCGGCGGTTTTAAACCCGATCTGTGTCCTGAATCATTCCTGGGGATTTCTGATCACCCACGTTTGGCAGATTTCAGCTCTTCGGGCTGAATCAAGGGGCCGCTTCAAATCCCTGCCCATTAAGGACAATGCAAATCACCCCCCAGCCTTCAGCTTCTTAGCGGGTTTATGGAAAGTGACAACAGAAGGTGGAGGTGAATTAACCATCCCACGCAGCAGCCTGGCCCCCTTGCACGGCGTCTATAAACGCTGATGGGGTTAGTTACAGTTTGGGATCCCTGGCCAGGCCTCGATAGCTTTTCTGTAAAACAGCCCGTCAGCCAGCCAGAGAGAAACGAGCCCTTCTCGGCGAGTTTCTGCCCCTTTACTGACAGCCAGATCATCACCACCGCGCGCTGTGTCTACCCGGCCTGTTTCACCAGCGCCCAGCATCTCTGCTAGGTGCGCGATTCGATCCCACTTCCACTCCATTTACTATTAGGATCCGGTCCTTTGGACAGGACGGAGAAGTAGATCCCATTTACCCAGATTTCTCTCGCTCACCCTCCATCTATTTCACTTGTTCAAAACCCAGAAGGGAGAGGAACTGGCTATAAAGCCAGCCCTGCACTGGGATTGCTCTATTCCCTGCGTAAGGAGTTTCTCACACCCTTCTTGTGTTGGAGTCATTCCGGTGTAGAGATGGCATTATTTCACCTTGCCAGAAGGCAATAGAGCCTACGCTTTCCAACCCCTTCTGGTTTGATTCCGCCTCCCAAGGTCTTTGTGTAAGAACTGAAAATCGGTGTATTTATCCACAGCCAGTTCATTGGATTGCTGAGCCCAATTCAGACCAAGAACTGAAACCTATCGATTCCTCCCCCCGCCACACACGCACCCGGTCGGGACCTGAGGTTACTGAGTTGATCGATCAGCTTGTGGTAGGATGCAGCTGAGAAGCTAATGGGAAAATCCCCCTGCCAGAGGGTCACCGGAGCCCCGGAACCTCACCTCTTGCCAGATTTTCAATGTCTTTTTCAACTAGTTGGGTCCCCATAAAGTCAATGCTGAGACCTTCCTCACCTGCAGTGCAGAACATGCATAGGGTTAGATAGTTGCTTCTATAGGAGCCCTGAAGCACTGGGTTGAGTTCATCTCGGTTACTGGGGCGAGGGACTGTGGGACACGTGCAAGAACCTGACTGTCCATAAACAGTGCCCCGGCGCCGGGCCAGAAAGTTTACTAACTAAGTTGTGAGAGACACAACCGACAACTCTTCAAAGAGTTGCGGGTGGAGATCAGCGAGTCCTGTTCCGCATTTAAACACAGACCGGTGGGGTATTAAATAATGAAAGGGGGGTGGGGGTTAAAGCTAAAACCGGATCCGACTTCCCATCTGTGTAAATGACAAAACCCGGAGGGGGGGGGGGGGGGGAAAACAAGGCCATAGCAACCTAGGAAAAGTGACTTGTAATTCACCAAGTTATTTAAATATTTATTTGCCTAAAGCTGTAGGGGACAGCTTCTTACTGGTGATTTAAATGAGCTCCTTTCAGGGGAGAAAAGGTGCTGTCAAAAATATCTATTATTTAGGCGGAAGATAAGGAGCGCAGGCGTTGTGATTTATTGTCCCTTGGCCCGCACTCCGGTTTCCACCGCAGTTCTGCGTCTGGACGTTCACAGGCCGGGTTACAACACAAGAAACCTCCTTTGGAACAGACGGGAAATCCTGGGCCCGCCGCTTACCTCTGTCGGTATTTACAGGGCTTGGATGCGAGACATTCCTTTGGTCTTGATAGGATTTGCTGGTCTCTAAATCCTCTGCTGTCGAGTGATTGTCGTCCTTATCTTGCTCTTAAAGTTAATAAACCGATTTTCAACCATAAGCAACGAAAGTATGATCCTAATATATCCTTAATTACATAATTAAGGACAAAGTCCTTATTAAAGCCTTCTAATCCTAATCGCCTTGCAAGTGGAAAGTAGCTTGCTCTCCTGGAGGTTTACCTAAAGGTGCATTCAGCGCGCACGCTCTCCTAAACAGGAGACACCGAATCGAGTTGAAAATAGAGTCAAAAATCACAGGCTTCTCCATTAAAAATTCAGCAGCGGCTTTGGAGTTTTCGCTGCCAGACCTTTTGCAGGAGGTAACGCCACCAGATACAGGGAGCGTAAAATACTCGCCCTTTAAGGACAGTTCACACGCAGCAAATATTTGCACCTAAATAAATCCCAGTAAAAAAAAGCAGTCTATCAAAATGACACCCGGTTTGGCTTATTAGCATGAAAGACCTTCCCTTAACACAGCTAAGTTTGTTTGAAGGTCCTGCCAAAAATGGAAATGACGTGGAAAGATTCATATAGGCTATTAGCAGGCTTGGAATAAGAATTATTCCAAACGGGGGTGGGGGGGATTGCCACTATTTTCTCTCCCCCTCCCCCGTTTAAAATATCAAGCCATCGGAGACCATTGCTAGCAAAGAGGTCAATTTTACCATTTGCCTCGGGGTTGCAAAGATAAGTGGTTGCAGGCCCCAGTGAAGCAGCGTTGCTCAGAGCCTGCAGATGGTCTTCTCTTTCCTGGGTGTAGACCTTCAAAATAAACGGAACAATTACATGGAATTAGCTGGGGGGGAAGGAGGGGGTCACCCCAGCGAGGAGACGGGTTTCGTGCATTCGGGGTGGAAAAGGCCCCCGAGTTAGGACCAGTTACTGCTGCTGGGGGTTGCCGGAGAGTTACAGCCCCGCGGCAGAAAGCGACTATCGTTTTATTAAGCGTAATTATTAGCGCTCCGGAGAAAATTACCCCCATTAAAATTCAACCGCGGAGTACAAGAGCTTTTCAAAGCCTGCAGCCCCCACAGACCCAGCCGCCGCCTAATTTTAGGCAATTTCCCCCCTAAGCATGAAAGCAATCCTTCTAATCAGGTTAATTAGCTGTGGTTTAATGCGGCTGCATGTAAATTTACAGGTGCGCCGAATAACCCCTTTTAAAATAATAGAAAGGTGGGGGGGCGGGGGAGGTGAATCAAAGCCACCTCCGACGTGCCGGGGAGTTCACACCGTGCGGGGTTGAACGTCCAGCGGACAGCGACGCTCCTCTGCCGGCTTCACCCGGAGCCAGACACGGCTCCTGGGGCTCAGATAAAGCCACGCAGGCCCCTGGCGATCAGAGCCGTGTCCACTTCCTCCCATGTCTGCCACCTCCCCAGGGCCTGGTCTCTAGCACCTGCCCGGACACTGCCTGCGCCGCGGGCCGGCCTGGCCTCTCCCGGGGGCTGGGACCTTGCACCCAGGCCCGACGCTACCGTCTCTGCGCGCCCGTGGGCGCAGCGCCCTGGGTAGGGAAGGGCCCGGCTTGGAGCGGGGTCCCCCTACCTCGTAGCCGCCTCTGCTGCAGCTCCTCTGCGGGCTCCCCTCGGGCGGCGGCCGGTTCGCTTCCTCCGGCCCCTGCTCCCCGGCCTTCTCCTCGGCCAGAGGCGGCGGCTCCTCCGCCTCCTCGACGACCGCCGCCTCCTCCTCCTCCTCGTCCTCGGGGAAACGGTTGGACTCCACGTCCACCTCGGGCTCGTCGGCCGTGTCGGCGCCGGGCGAGAGGGAGCGGTAGCTGGAGCTGCCCTCGCTGAGGAAGTCCGGGGACAGGTAGCCGGCCGCGCTCCGGCCCGCCCCACCGTAGGCCTCCCGGGTGCCGTACAGCTTGGCGATGCTCTCCGCGTCCTTCACCACGGGGCGGAAGGCGGACAGGTAGCTGCCCTTCCTGGGCAGGGGCAGCGGGGGCAGCAGCGCCTCGTCCCCGGACCGCTCCTCCTCGGCGGCCGCCCTGGAGAGGGCGCTGGAGCAGCGCTCGCCGTCCGCCCCGGAGCCCTCCTGCGGGGTGGCGCTGCTGCGCCCGCTCCCCGACGGCTCCGAGCCCTCCAGCTCGCTGTGGCGGCCGCCCAGGCCCGGCGGGTCGGCGGCGGCCGCGGCGGCGGCTGCCGCGGCCGCCACCACCACGGCGGTGGCGGCCGCTTTGGCCTGGCTCTGGGCCGGGTAGGGCGGCACGGGCAGGCTGCCGGCGGCCGGCCAGAACATGGGGAAGGGCGGGTAGACGCCGCTGTCCTTGCCGGCGCCGCCCTGGTGCGGCGGCGGCTGGGGTTGGTGCGGGTGGGGGTGCGGGTGGCCCCAGAACATGCCCGGCGGCAGGGCGCCCCCTTTGCCGGGCTCGGCTCCGCCCAGCGCGTCGTCCTGCTTCTTGGGGCAGAGCCCGAAGGCGGCGGCCGGGAAGCCGTAGGGGTGCGGGAAGAGCGGCGGGGGCAGCTTCTGCAGCATGCCGAAGCCTTTGCTGGGCACCGGGATGACCGGGTAGCTGCGCCCCGCGCCGGCCCCGCCGTGCGCCCCGGCCGCCCCGGCCAAGCTCAGCGCGCCGCGCTCCCCGGGCGCCTCCTCGCCGCTGCAGCGCAGGCTCTTGTGCACCGGGGCCAGCTCGGCTCCGCCGGGCGGCGGCGGGTGCAGGGCGGCCTTGGCGGCCGAGGAGGCGCCGGCGGCGGCCGCCCCGTGCAGGGAGAAGGTCCGCTTGCGGGTGCCGCCGTTGAACATGGCCTTGACATCCTCCCAGGCGTGGCCCAGCTCGTCCGTGGCCGTCTTGTCGCTCAGCTTGAGGTGGCGGCGCCAGGAGTTGAAGTTGGCGGCGTCGGGCTGCGTGTACTTGGAGTCCGGCGTGCGGTGGGAGTGGAAGATGAACTTGTTGGGCGAGAAGTACATGCTGCAGTAGCCGCACTTGATGCACTTGGCCCGGGAGCTGTTGTAGCGGGCCGGGATGAAGCTGCCCCGCGAGCCCCAGGCGCACTCGTGGACCACGTCGAAGGCGAAGTTCTCCGGCAGCTTGGGCGGCTTGTGCTCGCCCAGGAAGGACTTGCAGAGCCGCTCCGCCTCCCGCTTGGTGATCATGCCGCAGCGCCGGGACGAGATGGGCATGGCCCCGGCCCGCCGCAGGATCTCCAACTGCACCGGGGTGCACTGCACGCAGGTGATGCCCAGCGCCACCCGCCGGTTGTGGATCTCATTGTAGCTGTAGTTCTTGAGCAGGGTGTTGGAGATCTGCGCCAGGCACAGGCGCTCCTGCCCGTCGATGACCAGGGACACGATGGGCACGCCGTACAGGGAGGTCTCACCCACTTGGTTGGGCTTGAGGGGATTGGAGCCCGAGTAAGGCTGCAGCTCTTGCTTTGAATGCGGGGAGGAGCTTGAGTCTCTCCCCGTTCCCATCTGACTGGCCATCGCCTCCATCCCCCCCAGAACAAGCCTGCAAAACAAAAACACAACAACAGGCAGAGATTAGCCACGCACCCGCGGCCCTGGCGTGCGAACCGAGCCCGTGGCTCCTGGCCTGCCAGGAGGCCAGGCAAACTGGGCATCGTTGGGCCTTTGGTGTCGCAGCACATCTCCCCTACCTGGTACAATTCAGTCTTAGCAGCAGCCCTACATCCGTCTCTGCACCGCGGCAGGGGCATCGCACAGGCAGAAAATTCCCCGGGCGCTGGATGGTACAAGGAGACGTTTTTAGAGGCAGCCGCTACTCCTTGTGGCTTGAAAGGTTTTGCTGTGTGTTCAGTCAGATCTCTCTTCCCCCTCCCCCCCCGTCACCTATTATTCCAGGATCTGTCTGCGGCTCCAGACCTGAGAATCAGGGCCACAATGTCATTTTAACTCTACCACAATTACTGCATGACGGGGGCACAGAGAGAGGAAGAGAATCTCGACTATAAAATATTAACGAGCGACACAATGCGCTTCTGTATGTCGCAAAGGAATCTCTCGGTGTATTTAGTTACAGCTGCAAATAGCAAAGTCAGCAATGAAAACACAAACCGACCCTGTTCGTTCTCAGATTTCTCCTGGGCCATTTCGGAGCAACAGTGGAGGGCATTAAACGCAACAGCCCGACATCCCTTCATAACGTGTTTGGGATTTTTTGGGTGGTCCCCCCTCTTTTCCTCTATTTTTAATCTCTCACATTTCAGACGCTCGGTTTCTCGCTCTAAACTATTCCCTGTCTATTTCTGTTAAATAGCACCTCGGCTAGGTAAGTGCTGCATGTGTCCAGATTTGGAGGAAAGGGAAATAGACTTTAATTAGCGCTGCGTGGAGTTGTATTTACACATTAGAGGAGCGACTCAGTAAATAACTGGCTAACCTGACTGCTCCACTTTAGCTAACCGTGAGAGGACTTACCCGAAGCGCGGTTTTAAATAAACTCACTGTCTCTTAGCCTGGCAGTAATCCTGCGGTGACACAGGGCCACATGTATTTAATCAAAACCACGGCGCTCGTGTTTGAAAGGGTTCCCATGCGCCAGCCCGAACGAGCGAAGGTTTAGGTAATGCACCAGCAGCCGAAAGTTGGCGGGTTTGTTCCGAGACTTTGGGCCCCGTGTTTATTTTTAAATGCGCTGGATCGACCAATCTACTCGAACCCAGTTGAGCAGGCTTGGCCCTTCTCCCTTGTCTAATGCCATTGCAGGGGATTACGAGCGAGGGCGATTACTGACCTGCCCCATAAGGCTCCCAACTCGCCCAGAGAGCAGAAGGAAACGTGAGCCAAGCACATTAGCTTATCGAAAAGGGATCACCGCGTTAAGCAGCTTTCATGGTAATTACACAAAATAGCTGAAGTGTCCTCCTCGAAAATGTGAATACAACTTCACCCCAGCTCTGTCTAAACGCTGCCCTGGTCCAGACAAATGGGCTTCATTGTCTTGGCTGCAGCCAAAATGTTGGGATCCAATACTAGGAAAACGTATTTATTTAGATTTAGGAGGAGGGGGATTTTGTTTGTTTTTAAGTGATTAATTCAAGGCAGCAAGACACTCATCCCCCCCACACCAGCAGTCCCATCCCAACGCCTAATTGGACGTGAAACCCGCCGAATGTTATGGTATTAAAACGAATTACTTCGATGTAAACCGAACCGATAAAGGCGCCATCCAGAGAAGGAGCAGAGAGGCATGCGGCAGAAGGGAAAGCCCGAAATGTCGCTGCAAACACCGAGCCACATATTGTTGTCAACGACTCCCAGGCTCTGCTTGGATGGGTGTGTGTGTTGGTTTCGAAGCAGGGTTGCAAAATAAATTCAAGGCAAGCCATGGAGCGTGGGTGCAGGCTGGCCGGGCGGGGAAGGGCTTACCTTGTGCGGTGCAATCCCTGGAGTGGCGGGCAAGGTCGGGAGCACTTGTCAAAATAGTCCAGCAGCAGCACCCCAAAACCAAGCCACCCCCAGCTCGCTAGGTTCCGTTCGTGCCAGGCGGCAGCGGCATCACAAACCCAAGCAAGGTGCGGAGTTTCATGGGAGCGCCCGGGCGCCTGCCCTCCGCCAGTGTCCTCCCGCGCGGAGATGCAACAAGAAAAGTGACCACAGGGCAAGTCCAAGGGAGGATCCTGATCCTTAGCTGAAGACGTTGCACATTGATCCAGTGACAGCTAAAATAATAGGAAGGCACACCCACTTAGCACCCGCGTATTTACATTAACTGCCTTCGGGACCCGGGCGAGCGTCAATCATGGTTGCGCTCCAGTCAATCAAAACGCAGCCGGGGCTGCTTTAAGGGGGGGGACAAAAATTGCTGGGGGGAGGGGAAGTGGGGGGGGGGGGGAGGAAAGGAAAAGCGATTAGAAAAATCCACGCGATCTGGCAAAGGTAAGCGCTTGGATTTGTCCACCTTTCACCTGGGCCGTCTCCCCGCACTGCAAGCAGAGGGAAATTCGTGCTGGGGGAGGAAGGGGCCGAGGGAAAGGGGAGCCGGCAAAGCAGCCCGTCCTCACACACTTATTTCTTTCTCCTGCCTTAGAGGGATGCGGGTTGGTAGACGGGAGAGGCGTCAGTCCAGGTGGATCACCGAGCGGCTCCTCTCTGGGAGTGCGCCTTCCCCGTGGGGAAGGACAGGAACCGAACCGCTGTGGTTGGAGAGGGTTGGGGTTTTGGGGTTTTTTTTAGCCAAGCTGGGTCAAAAGTTGGTGCGCTTGGAGCCCAGCCTGGCGCGCTGGGAGAGCGGCTGGGGCTGCAAACACAGAGCACAAAACTGGCTCAGGGAAGTTTGCAGCAGAGGGTGCATTCGGGGGCACACTTCGGCTTCCCCCCGCCGCCCCCCCCGGGCTCCGGAGTTCGCCTTACCTCGGTTAGCCGGAGCGAGAAGGGCAGGCCTGAATGTGGCACTCAGCTACCCAGCAGAGGAGCCGCTGGGAGAGGGAGAGAAGCGGCGAAAACCTGGAGGGGGAGAGCCAGGTGTTTTCTCCGCCTTCAACTTGCCCCGGAAAGCCCGAGCCGGGGCTGGCTGGGGGGCCTGGCGGTGCCCAACTGGAGCAAAAGCAGAGGGGGGAATCGATGGCTAGAGAAATTAAGGAATTTATTATTTATCACGTTAAGGGGCCATCCAAAGAGGCCTCCGAGAGAGCCCAATCAATTCTTGTTTGAAAGTAAAGACGCCATGAAATGCGACAGAAAGTCATCCCGGCCTCTGGCTAACGATGTCTCCGGCGGGGTCATTAGAAGGCGCAGTAAAAGGGGAAGGCGCTGATTGTTTTTTAAACTTTGCATTCAGAGGCAGCCGGAGGCGGCGTCTCCTGCGAGCCCCCAGGCGAGCCGCCTGCCTCGGCCGCAGCCCCCTCCCTGCGAACCCGCTGATCTATTGGTGCAATACTCGCCGGTAACGAAATCCTGGGGAGATTAACTATTTATAAGCTGATCAATAACCATCCTTCAGCTCTTCGGGGACTCTGCCAGCTCCTAGTCCCGCTCGGTCACTGTGGGGAATCTCTCGGCGAGCCCCCGGGAACATCAGCCCCAAACTCCCCGAAAGAACCATTCCTGCTCGCTCAGGACTAACCCGGTCATTGGCCTGCGTCGGGGGGCTCCACGGGCCAGGCCCGAAGCCGGGCTGCTGGGGTGACTCGAGTGGGAAAAGTTGACCCGTTGTATTCGTTAGTTAAACTCCCTACAACGGGGCTGCGGGGTATTTGGCCCGTCGGAGATTGTGATGAATTAGGCAGAGGGATGTTTGGGGGGTGAGGCCACTAGCGTTCAAAAGGGAAAGCCCCCGCCTGCGTGTACAAAACTCCCCCGTCAATCTCGGCTCCCTGCAGCCCCTGCAGAAATGGGAACTGCTTCCGATCAAATCAGCGCCACGAAAGGACCCGAGTCTCTCGAAGTGGCGGCTGATCGCGGATCAGTTGCGCGGGCAGCTCGCTGGGACGCGGGAGGGGAGCGATTTTTAAAAGCGTCAATTGTCATTTACAAAAAATATCCAGCCTCAAAAGGCATTTCTCCAACCAAACAAACCCGGCGTTTTCCTGCCGCTCCCCTCCTCAGGCTGTTTCTAAAGCATTGTGGCATTAAGTGCTCTTAATGGACACGTTAATTAAACTGTAATTAATCATACTGTCCGGACCAAATTTGAGCAATTACACTAATCAAACAGAAGTTAATAACGGCCAGCGAATCGCCCCCGGCCATTACTTTTGTTAAGCAGCCGCCCCTTCAGCTAGAACAGCGTTTGCCCTCCACCAACATATGTGTGACATATTAAAGCGAGTATTGTTATGAAAATTCGATTGCCTACTTGGGATTTAATGTATCATTAAACGTATTTGTCCTTGAAAGCAGATTTAGGGCCATAAATCTCTTCCTAGGAATATGATCCCGTCTCGCCGTTGAGGGCTGGGGCCGGACCAGTCCTTTTCAAACGCCCCAGAATTAATCACCGCTAGGACTGGAGTGGGGGGAGCGGCGGGTGCCCCACCTTGGAGTTTGGGGCGCAGGCTCCTGCCCGCATAAAAGTGCTGTTAAATGCAGCCAGTTTAAATCCCTGTCCCCAGCGCTTCCCGCCGTCAGATTGAAATTTCCCTAGGCTCCAGGAGCCCGTATTCTGCTCGCTAGGGTTACCGAGCCCGGCTGGGAGGGGGGTTGGAGGCAACATTTATGCAGCCTCTAGGTAACCCTGCCCCAGCCGCTTTCAGTTGCTGGGAGGGCACGGCCGCCTTCCCCGCAATAATTACACTCGGGGTCGGTAATTATTCCTCGCCTTTTAATTATTTAAAGCAACCACTGAACGCTGCGTTGGGCCCAATGATTGCGCCGCGCTGGCTGGTCCGAGGAGCTCGCCGAGCCGCGGAAGGGATGGGCACCAGGCCGCTTGCGAGGGGCCCACCCTGGCTGTTGTCTGTAATTAGACATTTCAGGAGTCAATTTAGCGGGGTCCCTTTGCTCACTTCCGCGGCGGCGGCGGCTCAGCCTGC